AGCAGTGCGGCCACATCGTTTTGGTAACACGCGCCTTCTCGTATGTGCGCTCGAAATTTACCAAGAACAGACCCATGTCCTCTCCGGAGCGGTAAGGTTACATTAGGTCTTTCATCCTGAACGACTTCCGTTCTACTCCGCTAGACGCTTCGCTACCTTCACTACTACCTCGAGCCTTGAGCAGCTCGATTTCAAGGCGCTTCATCTCAAGATCCCTTTCTGCTGCTTCGCGTATGAGCCTCTCATTTCTCTCTTTCTCTTCAGCCTTACGCCTTTCATGTTCGTCTATCAGCTCTAGACACTCTGAGAGCTCGTCGTCGTCTGCGTTAAGGTTCTCAATAGCCTCGATAATCTCTGGCTTTCTCATTTGTTCACGAACATCCAAACCCAAACTTTTAGCTAACTCTAGCAAAAGCGGTTTTTTCAGTGCCTTCAAATTCATGGTTGCTACAAGTGCTGCTAACTTCACTACTACTAGGACGCTACGTTCCCATGCACAGGTCAACGTAGAGTAGTTATCTAAATTTACCACCTTTCCTACAAAACTCTAGATAAAGCCTGGTAAAATTTCAGTGAAGAAAAGTCAAGCACTCACCGCACTCTGCAGCCATGATCTCAGCGGAGACGATCCCGATGCTGGCCCGAGCTTGTTGCGACTTGGCGTGAGCATAATCCCGTCGCTGCCATCCAGTTGTTACGAGCCGCGTCGGTGGCCGCAGCGGACCCAGTAGGTAGCATGGAGCTGGGTGGTGGTCGTCATTCCGCAGGCCACGTGGACGTTCAGAACTCTCGAGAGCTGAGGCAGAGGGACAGGCGTAAAGAAAAACTTAACAAGACATTTATTTGCAACATGTTGGACAGTAACGTCCGAACGACGACTCTTCTCGCGACACTCTCCTGTTTTCTTCTGGTGGGCTGCTCCCCCTGCCTCGCCGTGCAGTTCCGAAGATATAGGCGGAATTTCTCTTCGGGGAATCAATTACTCATGGAGAGCACAACACAAGTGTCACTTCACACACGTGGCAGATGCACGTGGCACACGCGTGGGGACTCGGAAGCGACCACGCAGGAGAAATTCACGGCAGTCCCTCCTGTAGCACACAACCGGCCTTCCGCACATTCCAGAGGGGCCCGCCCGTAGCCACTTCCCCGCAGGTAAAGCGCACAGCCGAGACAAACAGAGCCGGTGCAGGTGACAACCCGCCCCCACACAGAATGTCCGAGATGACGGGAAGGCACGCTTGGGGGCATCCGGCCCAAGGACTTCGTTACTGCTTTGTAACAGCGGCCAAAAGGACACTACCTTCATTCTCCGGATTACATCCCTCAACTTGTCGAATGCTCATCCGGCGCTGCGACTGCAGTGAACCCGGCGGGTTGCGCTGTAACCTCTACGTTGCCTCTGCAATCAACTCCGACAGAGCACCGTGTCACTGTTGGATCTGACTGTGAAAGAGACACCGTATAGAGCGCATGATTGAGTTCTCAACCATTGCATCTTCCGAAACAATACCAGCTGCTCATATTTGATTGTCCAGTTCGCTCATAGTGTCCAAATACTGGGAAGTATATAGACAAACTACACGCCTCTGAGAGCAATCATGGATGTTTTGCAGTACGGGCACGGGGGTGGTGTCTTCAGGAGCCAAGTACGACTACATACTCGTGAATCCTATAGCGTTGTTCAGAATTCTCTCTCATACCGAGAATGATAACGGTTGTCGCTTGCTGTACCGATGTGTTGAAGTGAGTTTGCTGGCCGGTCGCCTTGCACAGGCATATTATGCCACAGTGTGACATGTCTCCTGTGACCACAATGGCAGCCAGAAACACAGGAAGAGTGCTTAATGGTGTCTGCAATAAGAAAGCGCATTCCTTTTAGTTTCTATCAACTTTAATGCGTAGCTACGGCACAGCTGTAGTAATGCACTAAACCACAGCAAAGTTAAAGTTCTGGCCTTGTCATTGTAAACAGCATAAGCTGATACCAGCTCCGTGATGAAGAGATATACTGCTATCAAATATAAAATAAAATAGCAGTGTGTGCAGCAAACCAAAAAGCGGAGACTTCTGACGCCTAAACGTGTAAAGCAGTCCTGTACCCTTAGCTCATCTGGTTTCGCTTTCTGGGGAAGCAGACGAGCTTAGTTGTGGAATGTTTGATGACATATGTTCAACGTCCCTTGCGGCCAAACGTCTTTTCATTTATGGAAAAACAGTAAAAAATTGTTATCGCTTTTTAGTTTACTTTATTTGTCTTTATTTTTGATGTGTCATATCTTCGTTCTGGAGATGAAAGTGATATATTGAGCCCATGGTAGAGATCTTCCTCATGCCGCTTATCGCCTAATGACTGCTATCGGCGTTTTAGAATTTTTACCTACGCCCATGCGCACACGACCACCCGCTATTGTTCTGAAATCTATGGTGACTCGCGTACAAGCGCCTACGCGTTACACCCGCAGATGAGGTTCTAGACAACCGTACTCGCAGCTACCATTGTAATTCGGGTGTTATGTTCAGCTGGGCGCAGATTCTGCAGTTGTTCAACTGCCATAGCCATCAACCTGGCGATATCGGTAGAAAAACTCGGGCAGAGCATGCAGTGTGATAACGAGCATGCAGTGCAAAAAGGAAAGATGGGTGGAATGTTAAAACAAAAGTCACAAAATGTATTTGTTGCAGAGCTTTGCTGCATTTCTCTCGTCGTGCTTAGGCGCTGCGGCGCACTTATTTAGCAGAAATAATCTATCTTGCTATTCGGCTGATTTTAATACCAAATGCAAAATTCACTTCAAAGAATATCGTGGTTGCTGGTAGGTGTGTTCGTCTGAGAACTTTGCAGGACATCTTATCGTCATCAGTTTGTGGGGCTTAACGTCCCAAACCCACCATATAATTAAAAGAGATGCTGTATAGTGGAGGGAGATAGAAATTTTGACTACCTGTACTCTTAAGAATAAAGGTCGACATATTCACAAACTAAATACTAACCTCTAACTTGTCACATAAAGCACCCTTTTAGTAAAAAAAGCTAGTAAAATGTAGGTTAGCGAAAATTACTACCTACTTAATAAGTGAATATTGCTGACTCAAGTGGTTAGTTCAATACTAAATTGTTAGTAATACCTGAAAATATAGGTTTACGCCTATTTGTTGAATGTTTCTGTGCGTGGCGATATTAAAATGATTTTATTACAAAAGTACAGGATAAAAAAACAAATTTACAAGGCTCTCGTACAGAAATTATTGGCTCCTAACTACTTCATGTAACTATGCTTTGCTAAGTGCGCATCACAGCAACATGCTTATAAAGAATTGACCACATTATCATATGATCAAATCAGATTCACATACATAAGTGAATCTCGTATGCTCATATGGACTCATTGAGCATATGAAATGCTTATATGAACTCATTGAGCATATGGAATGCTCATATGGACACATATGAGCATACGATATACTCATATGAGCTCTCATACTCAGAAGATTATATGCTCATACGAGTATGAGAAATCATATGAATGAATGACGAGAACACGCATGCACAAGTAAATCTTCATGACTTGGATATAGCAGATTTCTAATGCAGCAGCAGCTTGAAGGCTATATATACCACTGCTTTGGGATCCCACACCACGTACTGGATAGCTGTCACAGAAATGATAAGGTGTTTTCTACGCATCATCATGTCCCATTCTATTTTCGTACGTGTGTGCCATTACGTAGCACGAAACTTCTATTCGGAGGTATTCAATAAAATTAGAGCTTGCCTAAATTTTGCTTACGATGTCTCCATTACGGCAAAATGTACTGAGGAATCTACAAAGGATACGACAACGTAGGTGGCTTAGTAGTTGCTTAGCTAAAAACTCTAAAAGAGATTCCTGGGTTATTAACGGCTAAAGTTACTAGCTGTACTAGCTAGTACTAGTAAAAGTATGCCACGAAGGTAGTAAACTACTCCGGAAACTAGTGAACACACGCATTTACCAACTGATTACTAACTTTTGTTCTAAGAGTGTGGGTTTCTTAAACGTTCACCTAAATCTGAGTACACGTGCTTACAGCATTTTCACCTGGATTGAACAGGTAGCTGCCGCAGCCGCAATTCCATCCTGTGACCTGCAGGTCAGCAGCCGAGTGCCTTATTCACTAGACCACCACGGTGGAGGTGTCTGTTTTCTCTAAAGGCATCATTTAGTAGTGCTGGTTCTTGAAGGTTCGCGTAAGCGGAGATTCGCACAGCGCGTGAGTTTGGCGTTTTTCATTCTGCGTAATTAACCAAACAGTTATATACCAAATCCCGCTGGGGATCTATCATCAAGCATGAAGGCCAATCATATGGAGATACGGGCTTTTCGGAGTTATAATAACCAGAAGAAAAGAAAGAAAATAAGAACAGCGATGCGAATGAACGCGTTGACATTTAAAAAAATTGTTCTAAGCGCCGAGCTCTTCCCCTACTTTTTCAAAGCGCCGCCGTGGTGGTCTAGTGGATAAGATATTCGGTTGCTGACCCGCAGGCCGCGGCATTGAATCCCGGCTGCAGCGGCTGCATTTTCGATGGAGGCAGAAATGCTGTCGGCCCGTGTGCTCAGATTAAGGTGCACGTTAAAGAACCCCAGGTGGACAAAATTTCCGGAGGTGTCCACTATGGCGTCTCTCAAAATCATATGGTGGTTTTGGGACGTTAAACCTTACTTATCAATTATCTACTTTTTCAAAGCCTGAATTTTCATAGTCACAAGCTTGACATCGGTATAACAGGGGTTCGTCGCAGAGTGTCTGTGTGCGGAACAGCATGTATCTTATTTTCTTCTTTTTTTCTTGCTTGAAGCGAGAGAGGTGAGAGCCATTGTTGGATAAGTGAACGAGGGGGAGCCGGGGTGAGCACGCACTTGTCGAGGAGTTCAAAGACCACGTCCTACGTTGTCATCGGCATCACTTCACCTTTAACGAGCGCTGTCCGCTTTTACATTTGGCTTTGTCGCCACTAGAAGGAGGCTATCGAAAACATTGTCACACCTACACAATCTTAAGGCGTGACTAGGGTCTGTGTCGTCAGTGTTTTCCTCTCCTTCGTCGTTTGGAGGTGTTTTGTTATCTCGCTTACGTTTGTGTATTTGGTCTCCAACAGGGTGCGCACTTTGTAGTTGTTTCTAGGGCCATTCTTTCCACTCTCGGTTAAAAAGACGGAGCTGTGGCGTTTTCTCTTCGCAGTTGGAGCAGCACGGGGTTCACAATGGGAGAAAACAAGGACAGCGAGACTTTGGTTCACGTCAATGAAAAAGTGACGGACGTCGCCCGAAAAGTCATTGAATCGCAGGTAATGCTTGGATACGGTTCGACCACTATAGTGCATACGTAAATTATGAATTTGCCAATAGTGTCACCAGAAGTAACGATGAGCTTGCTTGCATTGTGTATTATGATCTCAAACAGTCAGAATGTTCATTGCTTTATTACAGCGAAAGCTGTTATGAGATCAGAAAATGAGTCACTCGCAGCGCAGTAGTTGTCGGCCAAAGTTGTTGGACCATAATTACAAGAAATTAAAAATAAGCTTTAATAAGAAAACACAAAAGACATATGGTGACAGAGGGAAATTGTAACCCGGGTCCACTGCGTGCCAGCCCAGTATTCTAACGATGAGCCATGCCGGTGCTTGGACTCGTTAGCAAACTTGCCTTAAGCTGGCTTGATGTCAGGAAAGAAATCACGTTAATATGAGTAATAAATCGTTCTTGAACAGAAAAGGAACAACCAAGCGTCACACAATGCGAATCGCGTAATAAGTGGGTCGTCCAATACTCTAATGCTCCAACACATTAGAAAAGCTTGTTCTTCATCCCCTATTAAGGTGTGGCACATACCCACTTAAGGCGTAATTTGCAACAGTAATTATGTGCAACAGTATTTTATTATTTATTTATTCTACCGAGGGCGTACGCTACATTTTTGGCAATCTTCACCATTTAGCCATGCCATCTTCATGTTTATAGACAGTTTTACTGCTCTTGAACATAAAATCCCGTCTTCATATTCTCTCATGATTAATAAAATAATCTGTCATAATCATTAGGTTGATTAGGAACTTGAAACCACACATATCAATCAATCAATTACTAATAGAAGAATCTCCTAATCTTCTAGCGTGGTGAATACAAGGAACCTGCCTTGTTTTATGGCGGAGTCATTTGTTTAACACTGTTTTTTTTTTCAATAAGGCTTTGACGAGGGCTTGTTGGTGGGCATTCTTTTCCTACGCTGTACCGTTTCACGGAAAAATTATGGAATACCCCACGCGTGTGTCTGGTGTTCCGTACTTTATCCTTGTAATATTATAGCGAAACAAACGAACCTCTGTTTATTTGTTCTGTTGTGATGTTTTTCGTACATTAGTTTTATGAATATATTGAACTGCACCACTTTGTAAGTTTATTACATATTTACTGTCTTGGTTGACGTTTCTTCGTCTGTACATTCACAAAGAAATGTTTGGGAACCCGCTAGAGCGTTGTAGTACGCCAGTATGCAAAAATGATAAATAAATATACCACAGGAGTTTGAAGTTTTTAATATACCCAAGTTTGTTCCAAAAGTATGAAGGCGAAACCTCATTCCTCTTATGCCAAAGAACAGGCTGGCTTCAGGAACGTTTACTATGCTATGAACCATATTCATGATCATGTCGTTAGGGCAATTCAGAAATGCGTATAATATAACCAGCCTCACTGACAAGAACTCAAATGTTACGAAAAGGAAAGAACTTGAGAAGTCATGATGGAATTGGGGCGTACAGCAATGAAGAGTTGCAGGGACGCGCATGCAGATATTTTTGTAATGATGCTTTGTTAAAATAATAATAATAACAATAATAATATTAATAATAATAATGTGAATAATAATAATAATAATTGGGGGGTTTACGACACAAAAATGATATGCTTATGAGAGATACCGTGTTGAAACCTCCAGAAACTTCAAATACATCGGGTCCTTTGACGTCCCCCTGAATGTAAACACACGAACTCCTAGCATTTTATCTTCACCGAAATGCGGTCGCCGTGGCGGGGATAACTTATGCTTGGGAGTTTGGATTGCATTGTTTTGTCAAGTTATGCTAGTTATTATAAGCTGCAAGCCATCGAGGATCTTCCAAAATGAAATGTAGGAAGTTTAAATGAATATATGAATGCAGGAAATAATGTTGCATTGAATAATCTGAAGATAAAAATAAGAATTCATAATTACTAGTCAGTCCTCTCTGTATGCGCAAAGCTTCGGTTACTCAGACCAGTGGTTAGCGGAGGGTCTTCATCCTCAGAGAAACTCTGGGGACAATTTATAGATGTGGGTTAAACAATTTTCTGCATTGCCATATTTACAGACGAATGTTCTATTCTACAGACTTGCACCGAATTCCCCCGATGTGCTAACTAAAGGGAAACCGCACAGCAAGGTAAACAGGGTGCCCCACCGTGGTGGTCTAGTGGCTAAGGTACTCGGCTGCTGACCCGCAGGGTGCGGGTTCAAACCCCGGCTGCGGCGGCTGCATTTCCGATGGAGGCGGAAATGTTGTAGGCCCGTGTGCTCAGATTTGGGTGCACGTTAAAGAACCCCAGGTGGTCTAAATTTCCGGAGCCCTCCACTACGGCGTCTCTCATAATCATATAGTGGTTTTGGGACGTTAAACCCTACATATCAATCAAGGTAAACAGGGTGCACTTGCTTGTCAACAGCACGCGTGTGCTGAGCCGGCAAGATATAGCACACGATGATAAGGAACGTGGTGAACTCTTTGGCTTATCTCGCGGCCCGCATATCGAGCAGAGAGGCACCCAGTGACCTTTGTATGCAACGGAAATGAAATATCGCTTTTGAGAAAGAAGACAACCATAGAGTGTAAAGTCCAAGAACAGCTTCATAGTTGGGTATGGTAAGGGTGTCATGGGCTTATTGCATTAACGCCTCAACGATGAACGTTTGACAAGCATTACAACGATGAGCTTGGGTCGACCCCGGGCTAATACGTGGCCGTGTAAGCCACCCTCTGTACTACTGACTACTACTATTCCTTAAGGAAAGGGTATATAACAGCTTCAACTAACCGCTACTTATCTACGGAGCTGAAACCTGGGGGCTGGCAAGGATGTTAGAACTTGAATTTAGGACGACTCAGCGAGCGATTGAAACAAAAATTATAGTTGTAACACTAGAGAGAAAGACAATAGAGTGGGTCAAGGGACAAAGGTGTATTAAGGATATCACTCACAGTTTAACTCAATAAGAACAAATAAACATGGGCCTAGATGAGGCTAATCAGTTTGCAAATATAACATGGCAGCACGACACTCAGAACCAGGTTGTCTGGCAACACATGGAAGAGTCATTTTCTCTGAATTAGCGTAGTTAGGCTGATGATGACGACGATGATGTTATAACTTAGTAATACTGCTAATACTAGTATTACTAATAATACTACTACTGCTACTACTACTACAACTACTAGTACTACAACTAATACTACTACTGATAAGAACAATATATAAGAAGAAGAAGAAAATAGAAGAACTCATGTGATTTAGAATACGATTATTGTGATCGTTGTTGGAAGCCTTAAATGGAAACATTGTGAAACCATTCAACAGATAGTACACGTCGTATGTGCCAGAATAGTTTGTTTTGAATCGTCATACCCTTCCGAGTTACTCAGCAATGGCATGCACATATCTCCCATGAGCCAAATATCCTCGAATGTTGTGTCCGAGCCAATGAGTGTATAACACAGCCACAAATCTATCGTCCCGACCCTAACGAAATAGTGAAAATAAATAGCTTGAAGAAGATGCTAAGCACATGGTAATGAAATGAACATGCGAAAGTGTTTGTTTTGGCTAGGTTGCTGAGTTCTGCGTAGTGGTGCTGTCAAGTTTTGGTATAAACAGCTAGTCAGTGTGAGAGGTCCTATTATATTCCGCTCACGGATCCCAAATTGTTAGCTCTTGCTGCGGGCGATGTGCCCGGATCATGGGTTGAACAGGAGCCACAGTCCGATTTTTTTTTTCTCGTAAACGTCTTCCTGCGCGTACGGCAGCTTTCCAAGCACTCTGTTCGCAATTTTATCGAGCACATTAATGTTTCGCATACTCGTATGCGGACATCGAATTCATAGCGTTAGTTTGCTGAGCTGGTTTCCTCACCTGTCTTTTCTAGTTCATATCTGATTAAAGTAAGTTACCTGGAAGTATAGCATGCATGGTTTAATTCACGTTTATCCCCGGATTCATCCTCGCAAAGAGTGCGCTTCGCCTACTGGTGTGCCTTCGATGCCGTAGTGAGTGGTTACCGTTCATTGTTTAAAAGGCTGAGGGGGGAAGCCGAAAGTGAAAGAAGAGTAATGATAGCCATAATGCAATTGTCTAGCTTGAGGGTCTGACACTTGAACGATGGCAATAATTAAATGAGAGAAGAGTGGAAGGAGCGAGAAAAACAGAGGGGGATCATTTAATTTTGTATACACAGATGACGGCATTGATTGTACAATATGCAATGCCTCAAAGCTCACTGGTGAAAGTCACCTCATAGAAAGATTTTGTTACCCGGCACCGAACACTGTTCAGCTATGCATGCAGTTGCGACACCGCTCGCACAGAAGGTGGAGGCCAACTGAAGTGGCGGACATTGGCACACTCTTGTGGAGTCCGCACTTGTCCCACTTCAGAGGTGATCGCCCTCACCTAATCGGCGGCTACAGTAGCTGCTGCGTGCGCCGACATTGATCAGTTTCGGCTGGAAAGGTCACCCACGTGTTTTCTAGACACCAAAATTGAAGACGCCTGGCAAGCACGCCTTTCCGCCAACCTAGCTAAGCAGCGATTTAACGTTGATGTTAGTGCCCTTATTTAACCCTGTGTAATGTACTACAGATTCGTTGCACATCCACCACCAGGGAATGAATTGTTCCTCGAACTTCTCTTCACCATGTGGACTTTAAAAAAAGTACTGACTATGAAGACGCAGATGAACGTGGCGTAAGGGGTAGTCGAAGCGAGTAAACTGCAGAAGCAGTGTCCTAGCCGGGCACCGTTGCATAAGCGTCCTACTCAGACGTGTTACAACTAGTTTGCATGTATTGTAGGATCATGCATCGTAATCTGATTTAGCCATTTGCCTTTTAGCTTACGTTACCTTATAAGCTAACGGGACTGTTTCTAAATACCAAGTATATTCACTAAACTAAAGCCACTCCGATCATTTTTTTTTCTATCTGACAATCTTGATGCTTCCGACTTGTGATTCTCACTGTCGTCTCCTAAGCTTGGT